AAAAACAAACATTTTACCTGACCAAATTATCATTATCATTACTTTAGAGCATCTTTAGTTTAAAAAATGATACTCCATCCATTTCAATTTCGTTGTCTTATTTATTAAAATTAAGTGTTTTAATTGAGTTGTTTTATTTTTTTATTTAAATAAAATATTAAATGTTATTTTTTAAAAAATCTTATTTCTATTATTTAAGTTTATTTATAGAGATGAAAAATGCTTTGTTAGTTAAAATCTTGTAATAGTTCATTGTTTGATTGTCTTATTTGTTATACATGTAACCAAGTAGCTGTCTTTTTTAAGTAAGCTATGAGCCTTCGCATCATTAAATTTTAAATAATAAAAATTTACACTTTACTTTGAAAATTTTGTTATGTTAACACTTAATTATAAAATTTTAATCAATTTTATAATTTTAAAATAAATGTAGAGTAAAAAGTGGGACAACTAAAATAAAAGAATGGAGTATAAAATTTCTAATATTATTTTTCATTTTTCATGTTTTATTGATTCTAAAAATATTGGCCAAAAGAAAAGGCACATGCGAAGAAACTAAAGACAATAGCTTGGGTCCCACATGCACATGAATTAATAAAAGCCCAAAAAGCTCGTCTCCAAGGACCAACCTCATAGTTCTGTTAAAGGCCGAAAAACCCATAGGCCCGTCGGCTGGGAACTTAGTTTCCTGGCCCAAAGGTCTAGGGTTCAAAGGCAGCTAAAGCCTAAATGGTAAGAAAGATTTAGAGATGAAGAAAAAAATGTAGAAATTGTTTTTTTTTTTTAAACAGAAATAGGTAGTATTAGTTTACCGCTACTCTTTTATTCTCCTTTTATTTTAACTTGAATTTTTATAATTCAACTAACAGAAATGGCTAAAATAATAATAATAATAACAACAACAACATAAGTTATTCTTAAGTTCTAAAAGAGGGTTTGGCATATAGAAGTTTGTGGTTAATAGTTGGTAATTTGAAATTTAAACTAATCAAGAGAATAAAAATATTTACATTATACATAATAGGGGTTTGTAAAAAATTAAGATATTTTGACAACTTAAATACTAGAAATGATAATTATAACATTTAAATATTTTTCAATAAATTAATATAGTAAAAAGATTTATTAAAAATATTTAAATAATTTCATTAATAATATTGATATTTTAAATATAAATACATTCTAATTTTTATTTTTCTCAAAAAAATATGCCCTTTGAATATTAACTACCAATTATATTTGGAGTGAGATCAACTAATACTAATATAAATTTATAAGACTCGTACACCAATTAACTTTACATTAATGATCTATAAATCATCACATATGCTGTCTTCTTAACAATGTTTCAAAGCATGACCTAGTGATTGACTCATTTAGGTCACCGGTTTTGGTTCAATTGGTTGGATCGATCTAACTAACCTAGCTAATTGGTCAACTTAATAAATGTTATTTAATTTATTTTATCAACTATAAATTATTTTTTCTTTAATTGATTTTATTTTTAAAATTGATTGAAATTATTTTTATATTTATTGATCAAAGAAATTATTAATTTTAAAACTTTATTTTCAAAATTTATTAACTTGAATTAATTTTATTCATTAAATTTATTAAAATACATAATATATTTTATTTAATAGGCAT